TCCAGTTCACCAGAGACACCTGGACAGGTCTCCAGTTCTCCAGTTCACCAGAGGCACCTGGACAGGTCTCCAGTTCACCAGAGACACCTGGACAGGTCTCCAGTTCACCAGAGACACCTGAATAGGTCTCAAGTTCACCAAGTTCACCAGAGACACCTGGACAGGTCTCCAGTTCACCAAGTTCACCAGAGGCACCTGGACAGGTCTCCAGTTCACCAGAGACACCTGGACAGGTCTCCAGTTCACCAGAGACACCTGGACAGGTCTCCAGTCTCCATCAGGGATACAAAAGAGACAATCAACCATCCACACTCTGTCACACCTAGAGTCACACAGAAGAGCTCCAGAAGGTTTCAAACTGAGAACTCTGGACTCAGATCATCTGCTGCACAYAGTTCTGATCACTTATTATCAATAATAATTTTATTGATAATTATCATGAGGAGTCCTTAACTAGGATGTACTGTAGTTAGGCAATTGAATATTCATGTATGTGTAAATTTATTACCATAATTGCATGGGTCACGTAAATTTTTTTGTCGTAAATTTCACAAAAAGTGATACAATATCTATAGTATTTGTTTGTTAGGTGTATTGTAAACTCCAGTCAGGGCGTAGTACTACTAGCCCGGCCATCCCTGACTGGATGTACATCTACAACTGTTTTACTGTTGGAGTTCAATCAAGATGTCTGCCACAATCAACTGACCTTAAAAAACTCAACATTTACACCAACATGACCAACAATCAAATGAATGACAAAATCATTTCAACAGAGTGATGAAACTACGGATGACCCCCTCAACAAAAACACCGTCCAGACTCCAAGAAAAAAACAAAACAAAACCAAAGATCATGCAACATAAAGAGCACCATGAATTAAATATGAAACAAAACTCCAACTGCCGGCTGAATTTTACTTGCAGAAAACCGATTTACTGCTTTTCACTTGAAGTTTTTGTACCCATAGCAACAGGTAACGAGTGCTTCCTTCCTAACCGCTTCCACATTTCTATCGGAATTTAACGTGACGTCCTCTTAAAGCTGCTGTAAAAATCTGGTTTGGCATTTAAATTCACCAAGAAATCAGGCTTCAACCAAAAATTCTCGCTGTATTATGTAGGTCTCACTTAATCCCTTATTCCTATGAAGGAAACAGGGCCTCTTCGTTGCATAATACCAAAAAATAAAATAAAAATCAGGTTACAGCAGATGTACAATAATAACAAGGTTACATAAATGCATGTAAACAGATGGCAGAGAATTTGTAACAGCTCCCCGGCAGCCACCAGCTCTGTGTTACAACAGGATCTCACCTGTTTCCAATTCGAGATGCAATTTGGCAAATTAAAAGGTGATCGAGGAGATTAGAGTAAACGCAGACATGCCAGATCTCATTTGTCACACTAACTCCGAAAAGGAATCCTTTCAGACGGAATAAAAAGCTTTTCATTGACCGATGCTGCATATATGTGTGTGTTACTGCCAAGGACACTATTTTAAAACCACAACATTCTCCTGTGAATGAAACCACAGTTTATAAACTAGGTCAGCTTTAGTTTGAAACTTTAGCTCAACTTCTGTTCAAAAACTGACGTCTGCAGATTGGAACACAACTGTGTCGAATCCAGGCTCCTGAAAATAAGACTTTTTATATCTAACTCAAAACACAGTTGGGAAGAAACGGATTTAAAGACAAATTTATTGTCGATTTAGAACGTTACTTATTAACTGATAAAGAGCTCAGTGATCTTTTGGTTCCTCTTAGTGCTACAGGCTCAGTATCTCGTGGAGCAGAGGGTGGAAACTGAAGCATTTTCTGAAGAACCAGTTTTGTAATCATAATAACTGCCACATTTTTAATGATTTTATTGTGATCTGATTTTAAGTTGGTTTTATGAACTGTCTTAATTGTAATGTTTTATTATTTTAAACTGTGT